GATGTAAGTTTCGTTGTGGAAAAGCTCGAAGGTTTTATCCTTTCGATTGCTGCGAATGTCGATTCCGCACCGCATGAGTTGAGCTGATGAGAGTAAGTTGTATTGTAGGTCAGGGGCGACGAGAACGTCCCCGATGTGAATGGTGAACTTCGTGTCGTCGGCCTCGAGGTAGATTTCGCCAATCTCATATGCCTTCATTTTTCCGTTGTTGGCGGCGGTGATTTCGCAGGGTCGTCGCATGCGTCGAGAGTTGCTGATGAACTTTGGCGATCCCACCATGTGTTGTCCGCAGCAACTGTCGAGGTACCACGTGTCCAGATCCTCGTAGCGCTGGCGGGCGAGGTTGGCAATCTTGGGTGTGACGATGCGATCAAGGTCGCCGGTGTACGGTGAGAGGGCGAAATATCTGTTTGCGGAAATGCTCGGCGGCGATTCCGGAGTAGGAGGAGGAAGCTCGAAGTCAGGAGGAATGTCTGAGGGGCGAGAGGACCAGGTAAAGACTGTTGGGTCATTGTCGCGAGCGAATGTTACTTGATCCCAGTAACGGAACCCTCTGTTGCGGCGAGCCAGACAGCTTATGATTGTCCCTTTTCCTTTGTCCTTCGCCGTGATGAGTGCAGGGGATTGTGAAGTGCTGGCTACGGAAGGAGGCGACACAGTGGCGGAAGGTTTTGTCTGCGTCGATGGTTGTTGGTTGGAGGCGTTGCGCCGCTCGTCAGCGGCCTGACGCTTGTAGCACTGGTCGATAGAGTGGCCAGACTCAGGTGTTCCCAGGAGGCTTGCGCGGGAGCCCACTCCGTCTTGTAAGGGCGAATGCCGAGCTGCTCTTCATGTGAGAGATTGCGAAGGAGGGCGGTGTATGCGAGGAGGGATTCGTGGTAGTATTGATGCTTCTCCTGGATGGTACCTTCCGAGGGAAAAGGTAGGCTTCCATCGTAGTACATCCAGATTTGAGCGGTTGTCGCGAGAAGCTCGAATTCGAAACTCCACGTGTAGAAATCCTTTCCGTCGAAAGGAATTGAGGTCTTCAATTTTGAAGTCAATACAAATTTGGTTTGCATTGAAGCGATGTCTGACTGTGAGCGTTGTTGGTTGTCTTGTGCAGGAGCTGACCCTTGACGATTGTCAAAGGTGAAGGATCTCTCGGAGTTGATGCGGCGGTCTTCTCCAGGGAGAGGAAGTCCAGTAACGCCACGTGCATAGCTTGAGCCGTCAACGCTCATTGCTTGATGGCTTTCAAGGGCGTTGATGCGTGCGACTAGCTCCTCAACGACAGTGGCGCTGACGGAGGTCACCGCTGATGGTGCGTTAGTCGTTGCTGGTGGTGGGCCCGGTGAGTCTGCAGTAGCTTTTCCTTCAGGAGCCATAGTATTGCAGACTTTGAGGTGTAATGAATAACTTTATAAAGGGATTGTTCTGAGAAGAACGAGGACTTGACAGATCCTATAATCCACTCTAGCTCTCATACCATGCTGGTATAACCAAAGGATCTAGTGGATAGGATAGGATCTGTTAAGTCTGAGAGGAGACAATGAAGTCTCTGTAGTGACCTTGTTGAATAATAATTGAAAGAGAACAAGATGATTAAAAGATAGGAGTACAAGAGATTAAATAGAAATCTAGCTAGCCATGTACTCTGAGGGGTACATTCCCTTATTAACTGTATTGCATAGCTACAGTAACCGCGACTATTGCTATTCTCGACAGTTACCATGTTGCAGTGAATTAACTGTCGCGCGGTTACTGGATCGTCAAGGGTCACGACCGTTGACTTCCTCAGACGGTTGTCCTTCGGGTGACCCTCGACATTCCGCATGCTCTATATGAGCTATTGCGGTACTGGTACAGTGGAACAGTTTCGGGAATGCTTTATATAACCTTTCGGTTATTCCAACAACGCCCTTCATCCGAGTGGCTGGGTTTGCCTCCCATCTGCACAACACAAACAATTGGAGAATGTGGGAGGGGTGCACTTATCAGTGGATGGATAAGAATATGCGGCACCTCGAGAGCAAGTGCTTGCCTTGCCTCCTTGGCTGGGTGTGCCTCGCATCTGCACAACACAAACAGATGGGGAATGTGGGTGGGTGGGTGGGTGCACTTATAGAGTATAGGAGCAGCGTGCTGGAAGTACAGTGGTTATCCAACCCAAATCACAGCATTGTGTCAAGTCAAGCCAACGATTGCACACCAAGGTTGCACTAAAAGCCGACTCACTTGAGTTAGGAGGGCATTAGTGGCAGTGTGCTGAGGCTGCAGATGAGCAGGGTGGCAATCCCAAGGACAGACTCGTTTCAAGTGTGCATGTCTTGAAACCTCATACTCACGTGGGTTAGGAGGGCATATAGCGGCAGCGCGCTGAGGCTGCAGATGAGTACAGTGGCGATGCCACCCCATATCGAACATGGTGTCAAGTCAGCATGTGCACACCAAGGGCACTAAAAGCGAACTCACGTGGGTTAGGAGGGCGTATAGCGGGAGCGTGCTGAGACTACAGATTAGTAGAGTGGCGATGCCGAATATGAACTTCAGCCATGGCAGCCAGGCGGAGTAGGTCTTGCACTGCGCCTGGTTCACAGCTAGATACTGGTTTGGGCAGGGGAGGGAAGGGGAGTGAAGGGAAGGACTTAGAGGATGAAGCGCTTGAGACCTTGAGGATGAATTTGGAACCAGGGCACTGACTGTGTACCCTTTAAATTTGAGTCAAGTTCTTGTGACCTTGAGACCTTGAGGATGAACATGATACTTGTGCCTTGGAAGCAAATCCTTTCTCCCTTGTGGTCACCGTCGGGGTGCTACTCACATCGTAGACGCAAAGTCGCTGATCTTGTACGAGAAGCACAGTGGGTGTCAATGTGCGTGACAATGCCACAATGGTACAGTGACAATGGTACAGTGACAATGGTACAGTGACAATGGTACAGTGACAATGGTACAGTGACAATGGTACAGTGACAATGGTACAGTGACAATGGTACAGTGACAATGATATAGTGACAATGGTATAGTGACAATGGTACAGTGACAATGGTAGTGACGATGGTACAGTGACAATGGTAGTGACAATGGTAGTGACAATGGTACAGTGCCAATGGTAGTGACAATGGTACAGTGACATCATGGAGGAGCTCTGCGTGGGAAAGGACAGGGACAGCTCCTTTCTACCTTATGGTGGTTGCTACGGTGGTGTTACTCACATAGTAAACGACGAGGTTGCCAATCATGTAGGAGCTCTGCGTGGGAAAGAAAAGGGTTCAAAGTGAGAAGAGGCGAATAAAAAAACAGCTTTTGAAGGAGACGAATTTCAAGCCAATGATATAGTGACAATGGTACAGTGACAATGATATAGTGACAATGGTATAGTGACAATGGTACAGTGACAATGGTAGTGACGATGGTACAGTGACAATGGTAGTGACAATGGTAGTGACAATGGTACAGTGCCAATGGTAGTGACAATGGTACAGTGACATCATGGAGGAGCTCTGCGTGGGAAAGGACAGGGACAGCTCCTTTCTACCTTATGGTGGTTGCTACGGTGGTGTTACTCACATAGTAAACGACGAGGTTGCCAATCATGTAGGAGCTCTGCGTGGGAAAGAAAAGGGTTCAAAGTGAGAAGAGGCGAATAAAAAAACAGCTTTTGAAGGAGACGAATTTCAAGCCAGAGTGTTCAGTGCATGCCTATTCGATGTATGCCAGATAAGGCTCAGTATACGAGCAGCAAACGACTGCCATGCAAAGGTCAAGCCAGAGGAAAAGAATGCTCGGAGCAACAAAGAGTGCATAGCATAATGCAGCAGGGCCAGTAAGAACGGTGGGGACTGAAACGGAATAACTCAAAAAAAAAAAAAAACACTATAAGCAGGTTCACGCCTATTCCTATTCCAAATGAAACTCAGAAATTCAGTAACTCGAGAGTTGCTTACAATGAAGAGAGCGAAGTGCAGCAAAGACAGCATGAAGGAGGGTCGCTTGAACCAGAAGAGCGAGCCTCGGGGCTTTAAGTGGCAGCCCTCGCAGTCTCCAGTCACATGCGCACTCTCTAGAGCCAGCAGCGATACGATGTACTCCAGCTTCGTTCCCACTGCCAGCACGATCTTTGGACATATATACAGTAACAAATACATGCGCAAATATGTGAATGCTACACACGGTAGATTGATATGAATGAATGAAAAGGTAGGCATTTAATAGTTAAATAAATTAGCAAAAAAAAAAAAAAAAAACCATGTGTTTGAACGAGCGTAGTATACAAAAATGTGTGGTGAGAAAACAAAATCATATCTAGCATGTATTTACCAGGAGGCCGAGAACGGAAGAGATGAAGGAGATGTCCCACTCTGCGGCAGGGGGGGAGAGTGTAAGAGTAATGAGGGGCGAGACGCGGTGATAAAGTGCGAAGAAAAAAAACAGAGGGACATGTATAGACATACACTATTCCTATCACATTTTTCTTGTGAAACTTGACACAGATGCAGCGACAGTAGGGAAGGGACGGGTCCAGACAGAGAGTGATGGTGTGAGCAGAGGCGAATGACAGGCAGGCAGGGCGAATGATAGGCAGGCAGGGCGAATGACAGGCTGGCTGGGCGAATGACAGGCTGGCAGGGCGAATGGCAAGTTGGCAGAGTTTTGCTAAAAAAATATAAAATCTAACAAAAGCAGAAGGCTGAATGCTGTGAGTAGAAGTCGAAGGAATGTGTTGAGAATTGTTATAATAGTGAGCATAAGAGGGATTGATCAAGCAGTAGACTATTGAGTAACATATTTGGTGTAATCACTCTGCCCTAAAAATACAATAGAAAGGAGTGACTTACTGTAGCTTGTGATGCATATAACAATGACGAGAGTGATCCAGAGAGGAAAGCTGGGTAGGCAAAGGGAAGGGGTTGGGAGAGGGGGGAAAGGCAAGGAAAGCTTTCAGAGGAGATATCGTGGGAAAGGGGGGAAAAATCAGAAAGGAAACAGAAAACAATTTGTTGTAAACACCTGAGTCTTTACCTGAGAAGGATGAGCATGTCATTTTGCATCTGTGAGAATACACATAAGATTTCACATGTTGAAAACACCTGAGCATTCACCTGAGGCCGACGATGTACACAAAATCTTTCTCCAGTGAGCCAACCACGTAGTGATAGAAATCAAAGTCGCGAGGAAGGTCCTGATTCTGAAAGATGTAGAAAATGGGAGGGAAGTGGGCGAGTGGAGCTTAATTTTGAGTCTGTGGAAAGAAGAAAGGCACCAAGGGAGGAACAGCATCAGTGCTTGAGAATAGATCAACCACAAAGAAGAGATGCACTTCACTGTGTACACCTTGAAGGAGGTCGTGAAAACAAACCAAAAACCAAAAATTACAATAACAATATAGATAATATAGCAATAATAAAAACTAATAAAAAATTAGTAGTGAAATTCATGTTAATAATAATAGTAATATCAATAGTATTAAATATCTTAGTATGTTACTTACATGAATGAATGCAAGTCGGAGAGTGTAGTAATCAGACTGAGTGATGGGGTTGAACAGCTGCTGGAAAAAGCATTGCTGTGGAGACGGAGATGGGGTGGGATGGGGTGAGATGGGGTAGGATGGGGTGGAACGTCTTTTGAGGCGCCTCAAAAGTGAATGGGGTTGAACAGTTGCCGGGAAAGGCATTGCCGTGGGTGGGTTGGGGTGGGACGTGGGTGGATGAGAGGGGAGACACAGCATTGGGGGGGGGAGGAGAAGAGAACGTGGAAGGGCGAATGTGGAAGGGAGAGGAGAGAAGAAAGATGGCACGGTTGAGAAATGGCAAGGTTGAAAAATGGCAAGGTTGAAAAATGGCAAGGTTGAAAAATGGCAAGGTTGAGAGGCTAACTTAGGGTTGCAAGATTGCCTTCTGCCCACTAATCCCCTTCCCCAACTGTACCCTCCCTTTGACAGTCCCCCAACCCAACGCACCACAGTGAGCACCAGCGACTGCCACACGGTCAGCTCAGTGCTCGCCTCTCTCCTCGCCATCGTTGCCTGCCGCACCAGCTGCTTCTTCCCCTCGCCCCCTTCTCCCTCACCCCCTCCCCCCTCACCCCCTCCCCCCTGGCCCTCTCCCTCCCCCTCCTTCCCCCCCTCCTCCCCCCCCTCCTTCCTCCCCGCCCGTCTCCTCCATTCCTTCTCCTTCCTCTCCTCCTCCTCTCTCTCCTCCTCTTGTTCATAAACCACGTCTAAGTCATCCCCCTCCTCCTCCTCCCCAATCCAGGTGAAATGCTCCTGGATATCCTCTGCCACGTCATCATCGCCGTCGTCGTCATACCAAACCTGCAGCTTCGAGCCTCGCCGAGCCGGCTCCCGAGCCTCTTCTGCCCGAGCCTGCTCCCGAACCTGCTGCCCCTGGCTCCCCTGCCCGTGCACCTCTTTCTCCTCCTTGACATTTTCCTCGAAGGTTTTCGCCAGCTCCGGCTCCTGTGCCACGCCAGAAGGGGGCTGCTCCACGTCATATCCGCCACCTGCTGAGCTGGAACCGGCATCTGCCACGTCAGGTGCCACGTCAGCTTCCACGACAGGCTCCACGCAGCGCCGCATGCTAGCAAGGGAACCTGTGCGGCGGAGAATGAAGCTCCGGTCCTGCAGGGCGCGGGTGAGGTGACCTGCGAGTGACACGGGGGAGGAGGACGGGAGGGCGATCAGTGGGAGAGACGGAGGGGGCAGTCTGTATGTGGGGAAATGAAGCTCCGGTCCTGCAGGGCGCGGGTGAGGTGACCTGCGAGTGACTCAGGGGCGAGCGATGAAGAGAAGAGGGGAGAGCGACACAGAGTGCGGGTGAGGTGTGAAGGGAACACCTGCCTGATACCACACCCCTGAACACATACCTGATACCACACCCCTGAACACACAACTGATACCACACCCCTGAACACATGCCTGATACCACATCCCTGAACACATGCCTGATACCACACCCCTGAACACATGCCTGATACCACACCCCTGAACGCACAACTGATGCCACACCCCTGAACACATGCCTGATACCACACCCCTGAACACATGCCTGATACCACACCCCTGAACACACAACTGATACCACACCCCTGAACACATACCTGATACCACACCCCTGAACACACAACGGATACCACACCCCTGAACACATGCCTGATACCACACCTCTGAACACATACTTGATACCACACCCCTGAAACATACCTGATACCACACCCCTGAACAGATACCTGATACCACACCCCTGAACACATACCTGATACCACACCCCTGAACAGATACCTGATACCACACCCCTGAACACATACCTGATACCACACCCTTGAAACATACCTGATACCACACCCCTGAACACATACCTGATACCACACCCCTGAAACATACCTGATACCACACCCCTGAACACACATCGGAAAAAACTGGGCCCTGGGTACGGGAATGAACTGCTGGTTTCTGGGTGTGAACAGTTGAATTTCGCAATTGCCCTCGGTGGCCATTCATGATCGAGGGTTAAGAATTTCAGGGCTGGAAACAGCCGCACTGGTTAACGGCTGGGAATAGCGATTGCCATTCTAAGTGGAGCAACGGCTGACTGGCTTTTCCAGATTGAAATGCCAGTTTGCAGCTGTCAACAGTCGCGCTCGTTCCGTCGTAATTGAGGCGATCGCGCGGGAGATGCCTGGTTCCTCCCATCCATGGTTGTGTTGTTACCACGCGCGTGATCCGTTACATCGACACCAACACTAATAGAAACAGATACAATGTACTCTATAAACTTGTGACTGTACTTTAGTTCGTAATTACTGTATGTGATTAGCAGATACTTTTGATAATATACACTTTATAATTATTCTCGTCAGTACACGACATAGTTTTGCGTCAATAATATAAATGCATTGATTTACAATGTTCATTATAATGCTGGCATTGCATTTCACTTTCCACAGAATTGTTAATAAAGCAGCTGGTATAGCACTCACAGATTTTTACTATTAAGGGCGCATACACGACATGTTATTAGTTACGAAACTATTATTAGACAGGAACACCATCAAGGAAAAATTGCCTCTCAAATCCTTCAATCTCGATCTTTACTGCCTTGCACATAGAAAAGCCAGCAGGGTGAGCAGGATTCCAGGTACTAGGGTCACGCTGGTACCACACTTTCAGCCATGTAATAATTTCACTTATCTTCCTCTGCATGTTCTGAGTGTTGAGAAGCTCGTTGCCAGACATGGCGAGAATCTTGGTTCCCTTAGCGTTGGCCATTGGCCACTCAACCTGCAAGTTTACGATAAACAAATATTGTTAGACACAAATACCTTAATAATTTAGCAGAAATGGCTTTGAAACTTACCACGTAGCACATGTACGCAGCTGCAACAAGCTTGATGTTCCAGGTAGTAGACTTAACGCCACCGAAGGCCTTGCACACTGCCATGATCCACCCAAGGTTCGAAAACGGGCGTTCGTCTTCACCGCAATGCCAAATTGAACCATAGGGACCTGATTGAAAAAAGAAACGAGATGAGTATGAATCGACAATCACAAACATGAGAGACGGAACCATACACACCATGCAGGTATCGTTCTGCCCACTGCGCAGGCGTTCTCAGAAATCCAGCTTTGATACCCACAGCAGCAAGCGCGGGTACAACGGTCTCGCTGTAATATCCCCCAAAGCCCCATGCATACACCCTTATCGGGCCGTTTAGGTTAGATCGCCTCTCTGAACACTTAGATTTAGCAGTCTCCCTTATCTTACAGTTCCTGGAAACGGCATAGTAGAACTCATCGTTGCTTACCCCGTCCTCTAAATACTTCATGGCAACGGTGTGTTGCAGCTCTTGCCACTCGGGGAAGAAACTCATGTAGCTTCCAGGCACAACTGTTGTGAGCCAGTAGATGGAGTCGCTTGTAAATTTCTGCCAGAAGTCAGGAGAAAACGTAAGAGCGGGAAATAGAACAAGATAATATCTAATGCATTAATAAGAGCTAACCTTAATCTGAAGTTCATCCGTGAGCTTCGTCGAAACCTGCACGACACCATTGATGACATCAAGTTTGTTGATGTCAAACAACAGAACGGGGCCCTGAATGACGGTGCCACTCTGGGTCGCGATTTGCGGCGGTGCAGCCACCGTGAGGGACCGATTCTCGAGCGCATCGATGCGTCGCCGCTGCTCTTCAACGACGGTCCGGAGGTGCTCGAGCTCGAGATCCTTGTTGTCATTCTCCTCTTGGAGTTCCTGCTCGCGTTGGCGGGAGATTTGCAGTGTGTTATTCAGATCCTCTAACTGAGCCTCCAGCTGTACTCCGGACTCCACACGCGGATGAAGAGTAGCTGCGAAAAAAAGCAAGAAATTGGTCTCATTAAACGAGAATGCTTGTTTTTTGGAGTTAAAGTTTACTATGCTGATTACAACATTAAACGGTAAATAAAGGCAACAAACAAAGCACAACATGCACACTCACCAGTTCGTGCCTTCACAGGGATTACGGAAGCGCCCGGGGAGAACGGTGTCTGACCGGCAGTGTTGGGGATGGCGATGCCTTCCCCATCCTGGACTGCTCCCGTCACTCCAACATTTGCCTCACCAGCTTGAGTCGGTGGTGCTGCTGGGGCCTGTGTTACGGCTGTGGCTGGGGGCATGGTAGGGGTTGGTTTGATAGCCTGGTGGCTCATCCATGCGAGGAAGTTGAGGTAAGTTTCATCAGTAACCTGGGGGGCAGAGGAGGTTGTTGGTCGTTTAGAGGGTACAATCGGCGCAGGTTCGAGGGTGGCGTCGGTTCGAGGGTCGCCATCTGTCGCACAGGCACGTTTTCCGCCTAAAATGGTTGACGCTTGCGACATTTTGCTGAAACGGTCGTCGTCGTGGATTAGCTGTGAATGGCCTTGGATGACTTCAAGGTCATATAGTTTTTATGGGATGTGTGGTGTGGTGTTTTTGGTGGTCGAAGGTGTTACATTGTGTTTACACTTTCCGGTACCGAATTTGTAAACTATTAGACCCGTCAGCGTTGACATTTGGTGGTAATGAGAACTAACGATTCGCAGCGCATTATGAGTTCGGTGGTACCGAGTACTAGCAAGTCTAGACAGGGGAGGGGTTGTTTTGGGCGCGTGAGATTTGAAACTACTATTCCTGTGTGTTTTAGGCAATGGTCACAACAAACCCTTGAGTGACAGGGGCAGCATCTAAAATCGCCGATGCCTTCAGCTGTCGTCTGCGTGGGGCATGTCGCGACTCGTCGCCCATTGGGTCAGGAAAACAATCCCGAGATAATTTTTGCAAATCCTTGTTCCCGTATACAGCAGCAAAACAAAGCACCACGCTAGTGGTGAAGTAAAGGTTTCAGTTCTATTCCACCGAGAGACCTGCCCGAATCAAACACGGCCAATCCACTCTTTCATGAAATCACGCGCACGACAGAGCAACGCTGTATGTTGCCAGTTGCTCATTGGTTGTCTCAACCACAGGTCGTATGTGATTGGATGTGTTTCGGACAATTCGAACTGCGATCTCATTTTTCCAGTGCGGGTTTGCAAATGCAATCTTTTCGGGCAGAACCACGCGGCTGCCCGTGTTTAGGGTTGGGGCTCCCCGTGTTTAGGGTTGGGGCTCCCCTAATCGCATGCCATCCATTAGGGGTTTATTTTTTTCTGACCGCGGGCAGATTACGACCCATCAGCTTCTTCCAGGCGGACTGTTAGGGATCGCATTTGCGAACCGCGCTGGCTTAATTAGATTGCAGCTGAAGTTGTCCCGATGTGTTTACAGCCACCAAAACGCGCCCGAAAAATCCACGAATGTGGCAGCAAGTATCGATCCATGCACCCACAGTTGGACTGTTACCGATACTAGTCTTGCTGTTTTGAAGCCAGTATCTACCGTACGTTTTTAAATGTCGAACTTGTTTCTAGGTGATGTGCTTCAAATGCCACACAACAAAATACAGTCCAGTAATAACATTCCACTTTCTAGGTATTTATCTCAGTTTGGTTTTATCAGAGCCATGGAACATATTAACACAGCTGCAATAAAATATGAGCTCTAGTATCCGTCAACTACACAACTATAATCACTATAAACAGAATCTGTTTACAAGCCATGTGTCATCCCCTATGAACGGCTGCACTAAATGCACCGCTCGTTTGATGCTTGCTGTCTCTATTACCCTATAGCGGTCTTCGAGGGCTGCCCACTTCAGCTTCACACACTTCCTCACCGGGTCTAGGGCCCTAGTAGCCTCATAGTACTTTATGAATGCATAGTCTTTGTTCTTCCCATTCTCTATGATTCTGAAGAGTAGTAGTAACTTAGCATACCACTCTGAATCACCCTCTTCTTTCTCAGTCCCTAGCACAGCTACATCTGAGAACCATGGCCTTCCATGGAAGGAAGGGAGTGCACGGATGCGATGAGGAAGGCGAGAGAACTCGGCATCTACGGCTGCAGGCATCGCTAGCTCGGTGTGAACCTGGATGTGCGTGATATCCTCGCCCTTACACTTTGGTGCAATGTTCAAGGCACCCCTGAGAAATGGCAGCTCTTCCCGTAGAGCAACGGCATAAGACTTATCCCTTTTGCCATCTGAAGTTTGTGGTTGTGGCACTTCCGGGGCCTCTGGTACCACCAACTTCCAACTCGTGCAAGACAAGAAGCGTGTGCCTGTCCGTTGGGCCATGAGCATGGCCGTGTCATACCTTTTCCTCTTGCCCAAGATTGGTGCAAGTGGCTGCAAGCGCAGGCGCTGGACTTCAGAGCTAACAATTTGAGATCCCACGCTCCGCTTGTTAGAGGCACGGTATGGGTGCTTTATGTACTCAATGTGCAAATGTTCAAATAGATGTGCACTATAGTGCTCTGGAACACCTGCACGCTTGATGGCGTCAATGAAATGACTCACCAAGTGTGCTTTCACAATTTTCCAGCCCGAGTGTTGCTTGAATGCTCTTGTAAGCCCATTGAGCATCTTCTCTGCCCGTTGCTTTAAGTCTAGGAGCGACTCATCCGTGTGCTCACTCACACGTGCACAATGCAAATACCACTCCACATAGGCAATCAATGCATCCATTTGTGGCTGTGTGACGAACGTGGTAACAAGGAAAGGAAGTACTTGCATGACACTACGATGCTCGTATGCTTGGTAGTTGGCACCTTTAGAGAAGTAAGTGCCAGCTGGTAGGCGCATGAACGCACTCCGAGTGATGCTGCGTAGGTACTTTAGCCTCCTATCCAGCAACTTCCTTCGAGCATCGGTCATTTTAGTGCCGGGTGTGTCACCACCTTGACGAATGCATTCTACAATGTGTTCCAACAACCCCTAGTCAGTCTGGTGCATGATGTCGGGCATGACACAAAGGTATGGGTTGAGAAGTGGCTCAGATTCCCACCGCCAGCCCCATAGGCAGCACTCTACGGGATGCATTGACAAGTCATCGTGCTTCGTAGCATCGTACGAACCACTCTTTATCAGCCGGTACAATGATCGGTGGACATGAGGTGTCCTATGTACCATGCCACGCTTAAAATGTGCTAATTCCTCCCGTTGAGTGAGGCAAATGGAGCATGGACGAGTTGTGCTACCCGACTTTGTGCACGTGACCTTGCAAGATTCAGGATAGTCACACACATACGCATATAGTGCAGGCCAAGCGTTCAAGGTTTCACCGTTGGAACCCTTGATCTTGATACCCGTGTGGGACGCACGCTTGAGTGGGGCTAGCACTTGGCTTAGCACATGTTGGAACACAACAAGCTTATCCAATGAGTTGTACTCTGCTGTGAATTCTGGGAGAAAGAGCGAGTAGCACGTGCCCGTGCTTCTTCCACCTCTCCTCCCTTAGAATATTGGCCAGCGTCATGTACAAGGGGTGGCCTTTCGCCTTACCCCGCTGGTCCATGTGCGTCTCATCCGACGCTAGTATGAGAGCAGCGACAAAGCCATCCACCATTTCCTTGCGAATGTTTTCCTGCATTTTTAACCACCAATCACCCGTTTCTGGATTGGTGTAAACATGCTTTTCGCCGGGGTTGCGAGCTTTCGCTTCCTTCACGATCTTACCTTCAAGCTTCGGATGTGTGAGAAGCTCTTTCAGCGCTTGAAGGCCATCACAATAGTGATATTCAAGCCATGCCTTTGTCCCAACACGCACCCTGGCCTTCTTCCAGCCCCTCGACGTGTCGGCAACCCTCGACTCTGCATACTTTTCGACATCACGGATGGTTTTCCATTGGGCAATGTCAGATAGCCGTGTGCTTTCATGACAAAGGATTGCCAACAGGGTAGCAATCTGGCTTTGTGACAGATTCTCCATCAACAACCAGTGTGCAAGGGCATCCATGAAGTTGAATGGTCGTTCCTCGACATCATCAGACCCGGGTACACCGAGGTCTTCCGTCGCATTAGCTGCTGCCTGTCCAGATCCACCCTCCCCTCCACCCCCCCCAACCTCACTAGGTATGTTATTAGCAACAGGTACATCACAAGGCATGCAGTCCTCATCATCATCACTATCTGAGCTACTGCCACTGTCACTATCTACATCTGAAACAAAATCTGGTGGCACCATGCTATCCTGCAGAGTTTCAGCAGCATCATCATCAACTGGAGCATCATCTAACTCTACGGGCGTAAGGTTGAATGATGGGATGTGCGCCACTGGCGCTCTGTTGCCGAGGTAGCAGGTACGGATTGCTACCACTCGCAGATGCAACAGCAGGCAGTCTCACGGCCCTGCATGCCTGGCTTCGCTGGTGTGAAGCTAGAGCCTGTGCCGTGTCAAAATATGCATGTGCTGGGCATTTGGTACACTTGTACGACATCTGCACACAAGACAACAAACCAAGTGCGATGGAATAGATAACAGAGGCAGAGAAGTAGAGGCGGTGATAGGATAGGACGGAGGGGGAGGAGGAGAGAGAGTGGAAGAGAGGGAGAGCTCGGGAGGGGAGGGGGGAGGAGGGTGAACTCCTGGGACAGAGAGCGGAGAGGAGAGGGAGACGGCAGTGGGGGGGAGGACAAGAGAGGAGGCAATTTGAGGGAGAAAAGGAGAAGAGTAGCAGTGAGAGAGGGAAACCGTAGGGGTTGGAGAAGAGAGTGGCGGAGGCAGCAAGCATGGAAGAGCGAGAGCATGTGAGCAACTGTGAGCATGGAATTCGACCGACGGTGCGCACGAGAGCGACGGAGAGAGAGAACGCGACGGTGGGAGAGCAGGGGAGCAACAGAGAGAGAGAATTCGGGAGGTGGGAAAGCAGGGGAAGCGACAGAGAGAGAAAGTTCGACGGTGGGAGAGCAGAGGAGCGACAGAGAGAGCCAATTCGACGGTGGGAGAGCAGGGGAGCGACAGAGAGAGCGAACTCGACGGTGGGAGAGCAGGGGAGCAACGGAGAGAGAGAATTCGGGAGGTGGGAGAGCAGGGGAGCGACAGAGAGAGCGGATTCGACGGTGGGAGAGCAGGGGAGCGACAGAGAGAGCGAATTCGACGGTGGGAGAGCAGGGGAGCGACAGAGAGAGCGAATTCAACCGGGATAAATCGCGGAAACGACGGAGAAAGCGAATGCGACCGAGAGAGAGATAACGGGAGATACGGAGCGCGCGAAATGCGACCGAGAGAGAGAGCGAACGGCAGGGCGCGCGAAATGCGAC